GTTGGCTTTTGCCCGATGTACACCCCAACGCGCTGATGTTGCGGCCCTGCAGAATCACTGCAGCACTCACGCAATTCCTTGGCCATCCCCGGGCCCACCTTAGCCAATGCGTCCTCGAGCACCTCGTCCTCCCGCTCTAGCCTAACACGACTGCGGGTTTACCACCCGCATTGCGTGGTGGCTTGGCGCCATTACTCCAACCTGGCCCTCCGGGGCCTCCCACAGCTGGGATGTTGGGACGCGGCCAACGACCTCGTAATGCAGCGCCTCCGGGGCTGCCATGTTGTTTCCTTACGGCGGCCATGTGCCTCTTGGATGGCCTTCTCCCGGACGCCCCGGTTCGCCTGAGGCTGCTCTTTCAGGCCAGTGGCTGCTGCCGGATACCGGGCTCCCGCTCCCGCGTTGGCTAGCTGCGTCTCCCGGGCCTAATCCTCAGCCCAAGCGTCTGACTGCTGCCGTTTATCCTCCCGTTCTCCCTGGCTTCCGCACCCCAGGGGTGGCTTCCATGCCTTCTAATCTGTGACTCAGGAAACCGCGCCACCATTCGCTTCTCTTCTTCCACCTGGTCCTCTTAGCCCTGGCTTGGGCTGTCAGGACGAGCTTCCGACCCTTGGTACCCGTTGCCCCGATGCCGCCCTCACCGACGTGCCTCCACAACTGCACCTCATCCATTGCTGCTGTCCGAGTTATCTCCCCTTTCTGGCTCCAAGTCCTCCTCGTCCACTTCTGGCCCCATGCACTCCGTCTGGGTGCTCCGCTACACGAGAACAATCCCGCTGGGGTTGGTCCTCCGGGCGGACACAACACAACCTACCAGCCCAAAGCAACCCAGCCTGGGTACTTCGCCGCGCGAGAGCGTAACCCCTGGGGTTGGCCTTCCGGATAAACGCAACGCAACCTACCGGCCCAAGGCAACTCAGCCTGGGTGCTTCGCTGCGCGAGAGCACACCCCCTGGGGCTGGCCTACCGGATAAACGCAACACAACCTAGCGGACCAATGCAGCTCCGCCTGGGTGCTTCGCTGTCCGAGAGCAAAACCTTGCGGGTGCGGGCCTTGCGGATAAACGCAACACAAACTACCGGACCAAAGCAACTCAACCTGGGTGCTTCGCTGCGCAAGAGCACACCCCCTGGGGCTGGCCTACCGGATAAACACAACGCAACCTACCGGCTCAATGCAACTCAACCTGGGTGCTTCGCTGTCCGAGAGCAAAACCTTGCGGGTGCGGGCCTTGCGGATAAACGCAACACAAACTACCGGACCAAAGCAACTCAACCTGGGTGCTTCGCTGCGCAAGAGCACACACCCTGGGGCTGGCCTTGCGGATAAACGCAACGCAACCTACCGGCCCAAAGCAACTCAACCTGGGTGCTTCGCTGTCCGAGAGCAAAACCTTGCGGGTGCGGGCCTTGCGGATAAACGCAACACAAACTACCGGACCAAAGCAACTCAACCTGGGTGCTTCGCTGTCCGAGAGCACACCCCGCTGGTGCTGGCCTTCCGGATAAACGCAACGCAACCTACCGGCCCAAAGCAACTCAACCTGGGTGCTTCGCTGTCCGAGAGCAAAACCTTGCGGGTGCGGGCCTTGCGGATAAACGCAACGCAACCTACCGGACCAAAGCAACTCAACCTGGGTGCTTCGCTGTCCGAGAGCAAAACCTTGCGGGTGCTGGCCTTGCGGATAAACGCGACGCAACCTACCGGCCCAAAGCAACTCAGCCTGGGTGCTTCGCTGTCCGAGAGCAAAACCTTGCGGGTGCTGGCCTTGCGGATAAACGCAACGCAAACTACCGGCCCAAAGCAGCTCAGCCTGGGTGCTTCGCTGTCCGAGAGCAAAACCTGCTGGTGCTGGCCTTGCGGATAAACCGACCCAAACTACCGGCCCAAGGCAACTCAGCCTGGGTGCTTCGCTGTCGCGAGAGCATAACCTTGCGGGTGCTGGCCTTCCGGACAAACGCAACACAAACTACCGGCCTAAGGCAACTCCGCCTGGGTGCTTCGCTGTCCGAGAGCAAAACCTTGCGGGTGCTGGCCTTGCGGATAAACGCGACGCAACCTACCAACCCAAAGCAGCTCCGCCTGGGTGCTTCGCCGTCCGAGAGCAAAACCTGCGGGGCTGGCCTTCCGGATAAACGCGACGCAACCTACCAACCCAAAGCAACTCAGCCTGGGTGCTTCGCCGTCCGAGAGCAAAACCTGCAGGGGCTGGCCTTCCGGACAAACGCGACGCAACCTACCGGCCCAAGGCAACTCAGCCTGGGTGCTTCGCCGCGCGAGAGCAAAACCTGCAGGGGCTGGCCTTCCGGATAAACGCGACCCAGTCTACCGGCCCAAGGCAACTCAGCCTGGGTGCTTCGCCGCGCGAGAGCATACCCGCAGGGGCTGGCCTTCCGGATAAACGCGACCCAGTCTACCGGCCCAAGGCAACTCAGCCTGGGTGCTTCGCCGCGCGAGAGCATACCCGCAGGGGCTGGCCTTCCGGATAAACGCGACCCAGTCTACCGGCCCAAGGCAACTCAGCCTGGGTGCTTCGCCGCGCGAGAGCATACCCGCAGGGGCTGGCCTTCCGGATAAACGCGACCCAGTCTACCGGCCCAAGGCAACTCAGCCTGGGTGCTTCGCCGCGCGAGAGCATACCCGCAGGGGCTGGCCTTCCGGACAAACGCGACCCAGTCTACCGGCCCAAGGCAACTCAGCCTGGGTGCTTCGCCGCGCGAGAGCATACCCGCAGGGGCTGGCCTTCCGGATAAACGCGACCCAGTCTACCGGCCCAAGGCAACTCAGCCTGGGTGCTTCGCCGCGCGAGAGCATACCCGCAGGGGCTGGCCTTCCGGATAAACGCGACCCAGTCTACCGGCCCAAGGCAACTCAGCCTGGGTGCTTCGCCGCGCGAGAGCATACCCGCAGGGGCTGGCCTTCCGGACAAACGCAACCCAGTCTACCGGCCCAAGGCAACTCAGCCTGGGTGCTTCGCCGCGCGAGAGCATACCCGCAGGGGCTGGCCTTCCGGACAAACGCGACCCAGTCTACCGGCCCAAGGCAACTCAGCCTGGGTGCTTCGCCGCGCGAGAGCATACCCGCTGGGGCTGGCCTTCCGGACAAACGCGACCCAGTCTACCGGCCCAAGGCAACTCAGCCTGGGTGCTTCGCCGCGCGAGAGCATACCCCCTGGGGCTGGCCTTCCGGATAAACTCTTCCTATGCTACTGGCCTAAGGCAACCCAGTCCTGGTGCTGGCCTTCCAGCTAAACGCATCTAAGCCTTCGGCCCAAGGCCACTCAGCAACATCCCCTTCTGGGTGTTTCCGTCGCGTGCCATTCTTATCGCCTTCGTCATAGCCATTACTTCGTTCTCCTCCGGACCTTCTCCGACTCAGCTGCGCACTTCATCCCGCTCAGCCATCTCTTCGCTGTTACTGACGCCCGATGTGCCAGTAACGCTGTGTTCTCTGATTTCCTTCCTTATTAAACTGGGTCCATATGTATTGTATATTGTTATTTTTGACGTCCCTATTCCCCAACAAACGACGTTCTGACTTGCACTTGCTTGCACGGTTGACTGGCGAACTTGCGTTGTCTGGATTTAGCGCTTTGTTCTCAGCTAATCTTTGTAACGAACTACAGTATCAGTCCCTGTCCTCTGGCCAGTTCTGGTCTGCGCCTTCCTGCGCCGCACTTGCCGTACTGCACTACAGGACGAGCACTTAATCAACATGCAATGTGTCTTAAAGCAACTCAAACGTGCGCAAAGTCTATTCGCGCGTCTCGGCCTGACAGCTC